TACCTGCGAACCCCTGATGGTCATGTGAGCTGTGTTAAAGTCTCAAAGACCCACTCAAATGGGATACATGTCAAATCTAACATGGTATTGATGTGCTAATTCTAACTGCTATTTGTATTTGATTATAAGATAATCTTGGAAGGTTTTAAGCAACATGGAGTGAACATGGATTAAGATGTGATTTGTCTTTCCGAATGTTATTTATACCAATGTTGGTTATATGTAACCAAAAATGATTTAAATTAGCTTTGGTTCAAAACAAAAAAAAAAAATAAAAAATTCATTCATTCAGTTTGAAAGGGTCTCTTTAAAAATGCTTTTTAGCCTCATCAAAAACTTTCCATTTTTTAAGCAATCATTGTAAGCACTGGATTTTGCTTACGGGTGGTTGCTCTTAATTATGAGTTGTAAATAATTGTTCATTAATTTCACAATTGCGATCCCACTTACACACGCACAGACAAAGCTCTCCTATAACAGGTGCACTGATTTCCTTAGTAGTGATTTTGGCAGAGTGTTGGTACATGAAAGGCCCCAAACAGCAGCTAATGATGTGATGAAAGTCACTTTCCTTGGTATCACACAGATACCCAGGACATGCATATACAACATGCGAAAAGAAAAACAAAAGAACCAAGCTATTTTTAATTTTTTTAAAGTAAAATATATTAAAAAAATTACTTTCTTATATTGGCATTGCAAACTTCTATTTTCAAATAAATATTCAAAAAGGTATTGGTACCATTTCACGTGAGCTCAACAACATATACAGTAATGTGTTTGTTCCCTGTTTCTTGCGTTTTTCACAAGCAAAGTAATTTTGCTGAAAGTAAAAGTTAAGGAAGAAGAAAAAAAATAGAAAAACCTCCATTATTGAATTTTGTTTTTTAATGACAAGAAGTAAGTAAATCCTACATTGAAGAACTATGTTTTACATTAAGCCTTTTATTAGAACAATGACAGTTAATATTTAGATCTTAATAAATACTTCACGGAGTTAAAAACATGATAGCAATATTTTCCTCTTTAAATTCAAATATATGTATAAAAATGTTAGAAGAATTGTTGGTGCAATTCTTGAAAAGAAAGCTATGGCTTAAAGAAACCATAATAGAAATATTTATATATACATATATATATATATATTTTTTCCTGAAAGCTGGCATTACCAAATTCATAAAATTAAAGGTGTTATGTTCCTGAGGTTTTCACACCTCTCAAAGTCATAATGCTCTCTGAAAAAAAAACTGCTTCACAGCAGAGAGCTCTTGTTGACATGAGTGTTGCTGTTCGTTTTTGTACTCTGGTTTTGAATTAGCAATAAGGTATTTTTTTTTGTGCACAAAATAACATATTTTTTACATTTGCAAACACCATTATTGGTCTGTCTTGTTTCTTCTCATTGCATAGTTCTGTGTGTAATTTGAACCAACTCTTACACAGTAAACACCTCCACAGCCCACTAAAATATAAACATGTTTTTATATTCATATATTCAAACATATTTTACAAAAAATAAACTGTGTAAGCACACCTCAAACTTATAAATCCTTTTGTGGAAAAGTGTTAAAAAATGCCCTATAAAGAAATGTACCTTTACATATGTCAGCCCTTTTCAGAGCTTGTGTGCCTTGTTGGAGTACATTGCATCATAGATGTGGGAGATTTTAAATAAAACCAAGAAAGGGACAAAGCTTTCTTAGAGATAGAATACGTGTTGCAAACATTTCCCGTATGTCTGATTCAGAACGGGAAGGAAATGATTGGCAACAGAAAGAGCCAAATAATTTACCATGTAGAATTCCCTTCTCCATCTTTTTGAACTCATTTTGCATCCTATCTTCAATGATATACATCTTTTGCGTGTGTGAAGAGATCTTGTGGGTTCCTTAAAATTAGATTAAACTTCAGGGATCCTCTTCACACAGGTTTTGCCTTTGGTAATACAGTGTTTACTTCTGTTCCTGTATGTGTTATGAACCTTTGCTGACATTTTCAGCTCACTACTGAAACACCACGCTCTGAAAATACTAAGGCATTCTTTTCTGAATAAACAGCAAAGAGCAAAAGAACAAGAGTTCTGATAAAATCCACTATATCAGCAGAACAAAAAAAAAAAAAAACCTCACGATTCACTTGCTGTTTTGCCCTTTTCCAGTCACAGCCTGCAAGTACATCTTTATAAAGTTTTAATATCTAGCAAAAAAGCAACTTTGCAAAATCAAGGGCTGTCAAAGCGAGTCTAAATGAAGGCGCAAAGAGCCTGTTTACCTCTCTGATGTCAGTCAGCAACCGTTATCCTGCACAAACTTCAGCTCACACACAATTACCTGAGCTCTGCAGGGAGACACAATACATTCACAAAGAGCGAGGCAAGCTGCCAGAAACCTGTTTCCAATTAAATACTGAACATACCTTTCAAGTCATTAAAAGGTGAGCTGTTAATGTGTTGAGATGTGGCAAAAAATCAGGAAAAAAAAGAAAACTTTAACCAGTTAAGAATGACTTGTTCTGCAGCATGCTGTATCTATCACTAGATCACACACTTGTGCCTTTCTTTCTAGCTATAATGCAGACCAATATGCTTAAAGTAGAGAGCATACAGTAGATACAGTTTCTACCTAAAAGGACTTTCATGCTGAGGCTTAACTTCTTTACTAAAACAAAATACTGTTTCCTATTTCAACAGATGATTATTAAAACAACTGTTAAACACTGGTGGGTAAATCTTAAGTCACCAATTTCTGTGAGCTTTTAACTTACAGAAAAGGACAACGATGGACTCATTAGGTTTATCGACTCAATTAAATTAAGGTAGAAAAGAAACATGCCATGGATTGACTCATAAATCAGTTACGTCAAAATAGAGCAGAAGTAAGTTTACCCAAGCCTAGCAAAACTGAAATGACCTTAATTCATGCAACTTGCTCGTTTCCTGTAGACCCATCATTCAGAAAATTTGCCTGACAGATTTGCTCAAAATTTCAAACTTATAATTTGCATTCTATTTCACAAGAAACGTTATCCTATCGATGACTATAAAAGATTGACTATAGATGCTAAATGCTCTTTTATCTTAAGAAATGTGTTTACTTTGTTGGACAAAGATTGCTTAAAAAATCAAGTGGAAAAAGGACATTTTGGAAAAACGTTAACTAATCTCAAAGAAGGCATTATATTTCAGGTTGGTGAGGTTATTTTGTACAATAATGACACACAAACATATAGAACCTATTATAACATGTTATATGTTTTTGAATATCTGTCACTTCTACATTTTCCCGTTTTTATAATCTTAGAATACATTCTTGCATTTCAAGTTCAGCTAATTTCCTTTAATCTTTAATGTGCCAAAACAGTTAAACATTTTAAGTCTTACAGGTCTTATTGGTTTCCATATTAAAGTTTCCTATTATTCCTTATTAAGCGAAAATTGGAGAGGTTCAGGATCACAAATATACAGTAGCCATAATATATATAATTTTGTTTGGCAATTTAGTTTAAAGGGATCAGACAGATAGGCAGACTGACAGATTGATCATAGCATTAAAAAAATATATATGTATATATTCTGTATTTCTTTATTAATGACATGACAGCAAGTGAGGCACAAATGAAGTAGATCACTGATCATCTCTATTTGTCGCTATATTTTATGAGTAATTATCATGCATGTAATCACAACAGCACTTCACAGGTACATCCTGTATAAACACAGTGGTACCGTGCAAAAGCTGCTTCCAGCTTAGACTAATAAATCAGCACCATCCCACCTGCTTCATCTAAAACTGGAATTAAAGTTATGCAACATGGCCCCCATCCAGCTGTCCACAGCTCATCTCTCCTATTTATCTACTGCAACAACGTTGGCAGCACATCCTTAGCTGTCTTCAAATACAAAGTAAAGCTATATGCAATATGAAATTAAATTCTTAAAGTATTATTTACCTTTCTGAAGATTTATTAAAATGATTAGTCCATTAAAAATGAAACACTCTAATTAAGACACTATTATGGCTTAATATATGAGATAATATTTTCCAAATTGTCCTTGGTGATTGATAAAGCACTTTTGATTTGAGTTGAATCATAGAATTGAGTTATTTAAAAAAAAAAATACAAGTAAATGTAAAACTGATTAAATCTTTTCTCGTTTTTTTCTTTAAAAAAATCACTCCAAAACGTGCTACTTCGTGTTTGATTTAAATTCAAGTATTTTTCAATATCATTTGAAAGATTTCTTTTTTTAAATATTGTTGACTGGAAGAAAAAAAATATAACAACACACACATAAGAAAAAGTGTAATAAACCTACCTCACAAAACAACAATCCATATTGGGTTCAGGTGAGCAGGTGAGTGAAATTTTAACAAGTTTGTGAGGAATATTCTCACTTTATGAATCAAATATAACATCTAAAAAAGCTGTACTTACTGGAGACAAATGTAATCCGCATTTTACATTTTCATATTACAGTTTTCATGATTTTACCATTAAAATAAGGGTTTCCTAAAATTCCACCTATGTTCTAACTAATTTCTGATTAGAGTAAAATAAACCTGTTTGGGTTTTCCAAGAACCTATAGTCCCTCAAAAACAGTGGCATAGCTTTTCAGTTTAATAAATAAAGGCTCTAATTCAATTGGTAAGTCTAGCCTTGTTAGTCCATCTATTATGACTTCTGTTTTTTCCCCTTTTGCTACAAATACTCAAATTACTGCAACACAAAAAAATCATAGCCATTTGTCCTTCTCAACATTTATGTAACAAAATGTTGACAAAGGCTAACTTTGTCAACATTACATTACATTCAAGGGTGTCATAACTTTATCAGAGCAAGGTACTTCCTGAAAAAGCCAACACTTAAAAGCTACACTAAACATCAAGATAACATTATATAAGGTGGTAACCTTACCATAGTTTTTGTTTTCAACCAAAGTCACAATTAAATAAAATCCATTTTTAGTTCAAAGTCAGCCCAGCATACTGCCTCAACATACCTGATACCATAAACTCTTGATTGAAGTTGTTCCAGCCTGCCTTGTTCTTTTCCAGGTTATCCTCCATGACTTTGATGTCAGCAAAGGGACAGTTGCATTCTGGGAATCTTGGAGAGCACCGGCACCAGCAGTCGTTATTGCGGCAGAGAAGCTCACCCTCTGAGTTACACGCCACATAGCTGAGGGCCGCCTCCACAAAACGCCCACGGAGGAACTCTGGCAGGACATCCTGCAAACCTGATATGAAGTCAAAGGTTAAAAAAAAAAGGTTTAAAGAGTGCATGACTGTAATTATTTCAGCATGGAAAAGAACATTCCTAACATAGCATTTTGGTTTGGCATCTTTACTTAAGGATTATAAGCTGAATGTCTACACACAGCAGGGAGCTGAAATATTTTTACCTGAATTTTCAGCGTTTATTATTTCAAACTTCACATTTCCTTAAGTTTTTTAAACTGTTTCTTAATTAGGAACAACTATAAATAAAGATGGATGGATGGATGGATGGATGGATGGATGGATGGATGGATGGATGGATGGATGGATGGATGGATGGCTAAGCAGTCAGGCAGTTTTATCCATACAAATACACATTCATAATGAAAAATAAAGTTATTTTACAGAAATCAGTTCTAAATATATTTCTCTTCAACAGAGTAAACAACTAATGCTTCCCCTCACAGTTTTTTTCTCTTTTACTTGGACAACTCCTTTCTCACTGAGGACTTTGATGATATTTTTTAGTAAGTTCAGTATATATATATATTTGTCTTTATCTAAATCAACAGTTGAAAAAAATGTATTTGTTGTTTTTTAACATTTTAATTAAGAATTTAACATAAAAAATATTACATGTTAAACAATTCATGTTAGTAATATTTTTTTTGATCATTTAATATTACACTTAGCCACTCATTTTTTAACTTGAAAACTAACTCAGTTTTGTTTACTAGTAAAAAAAACAAATCAGTGTTATATTTTCCCTGACTTCATTGTCTATATCCTAATAAAACTTTATATGCTAATTATAGTACAAAAAACTATGATTGAACAACGTATTGAGCCACATCATAACACAAAGCTGATGTGTATGCATATCGACATCTCTCAGAAATCAGCAGGTACCTCGGTGTGTGAACCCCATGCTGTGTTTCTGAAATCGTCTGTAGTCCATCCCTGTCTCGCTGATTTTCTGTCTAATAATTGTTAATTTGTGTCAGAAGCTGCCTCTCTATTCCTTTCCAAGCTCTTTGGATGATTTTTGTCAGCCAAGTCAATCCCGCTGTGCCATGCTATGAATATGCATATTTATTCTTCCGTATTTTCTCTTTTACTGGCTTGGAAAAAGATGTAATTAGTCACATTTTCCATGTTCTATGCTTTGGCAGGTGCTTTGAGACCTTTTTTTTTGTTTTTTTACATTTTTTTTAATTTTTTCTTTTCTGTGGGTTAGTCGGTGTGTGGGTGGTGGTGATGTGGTTCTGTGTATGTGCACCAGATCCAATACGGCCAGAAGTTTCTTCAGTTTAAAGGAGACAGCTAAATAACAATCCAGTTCCATTAAGTCATTATCTCACTCTCTGTTTCTTTTTAGTGCCTCTCCTTATCTTTTAAAATTTTCACTGAATGACTTTACAGTTAACATTAGTAATCTGCATAATTTTTTTTCTAAGTCAGCTAGTATTTTTTAATAAATATAAAACAAAATGCCACAATTTTTTAAGATGACTTGCAGAAAGCTATCTCAGATTTTTGAATTGGTTTCCTGATAAAAAAAAAAAGAGTCTAACTTGACGTGTTGTACAACATCCATGTCACACCAGGGGAGGAGTTTATACAATGCTATTAAATGCTGAAAAGGTAAAGCCATTAAACCATACTGTTAAATATAAACCTACACCAGAGTCAGAACATTCAAGTCACATTGAAGTCAACTTTGAAGATTCTTTTTGAAAAGTTTGGATGAGCATTCAAGCATCACTTGGCTGTACTGTCATTTTATACAAAATTGGTTCTGCCTTTTAAACTTGGCTGTTTCTTTTAAAAGGGCATTATGAAAGTGTAGACTGAGTACAAATTATTCAGTTCAGTTTTTATGTGGGTACTTGCCTGTGAGTCATCCTCTTTTCACCTTGCTGCTTTTCACCTTTGACACACATGTCGTTACTGCATCAGCACATCAGTATTCAGCTGAATACTTGCCAAGGATTAGTATGACACTCATGTCTGCCTTTCCAAAATGAATAAAAAAATGCAAACTGGGATGTGCTTAGATGCTACATTAGCCTCTATTTACAATTCTATATATTTTGGAGTGACACAAAGCCCAACAAGACTATCAACCCTTTAGGAATATCTCTGAACTGGGAATACTGCGGCTGACTTGAATTTGTCAAAAGGCGATATAATGATTTGGGGTTTTTTATGGATAAGTTATATATATATAGTAATATTCAAATTGAGTCTATTGGCATGAACCAGGCCCTAATAGTTGCTCATTTCACTCACCTGCCTAACTCCGCCTGGTTTTCAATTATCACTCATCTAATCCACTTTTCTCCTGCTTCTTTATATACAGCTCAGTCCAAGCTATTGCGGGCAGATCATTGAGATAACAGAGTTATAGATCATTGCTGATGCCATAGTTCATGTTCTCGTTCTCGGGGGCTAGTGGTGAGAGAGGGTTTTTTAGTGTTTCGTAGTATTTCAGCTTTCCTGACCATATCCCGTCTCTTATCCACTGAGCTTGCCCTATTCATGTCTTGGCTCAGTGGAGAGAACGAGTTTTTAACGTACCGTATTGTTCCAGATATCCTTGTTTCTTTCCACCTCTTTACCACTGAGCTTGTCTGTTCGCATCTAAACGTTATATCTGAAATCTCTGTTGGACTCCTGGAACCCTGCGCCAGTCTGTTCCTGTTTTGATCTGTATCCCTGAATGGGCTTCGGACTCCTGGAACTCTTAGCCTTTTTGCTCTGTTCTGTTTCCCTGTTCTGGCTCGGATTCCTGCTTGCTCACTGGGTCTGCGGCAGCTAAGGACACTCTGGGCGGCGCCTGCCGCATCTCCTTGGTAGCCCACCGGCTGGATCCTAGCTTGCTCTAAGGAGATGGAATGAACTGTTAAACCCGGCAAGTGACTCACAGGGATAATCTTCCATCAGATTATCATGGTCACTTACCTGTGTTTTTTTCTACCAGAGTTTTCCAGTGATGGACGGTGCCCGCCACTAACCCAAGCAACGGAAAACCCCCAAACCCCCTGGTTAATTTCAATAAAACGCTTTGACTTCACCCATTGTATGTTTCAGCTGAATTCTAGGTCTTTCTGTACAATTTCATGGCATCTATACAACACCTAAATATTGGAAAAACTAAATCAATTAAAGTTTTAGACATATTCTGCACCTTTTTACTATTTATGCTTTCAGATACAAATCTATATATTACAGACTGTAGTTGAATTTAGCGAACACAAACTTTCACAATCTTTATTGTTTGAAAATAAATTAAACAATCTTTTAAATTTTCAGTCTTGTTTTACAGATGTACAAATTGTACAATGGAGGGGTGGATGTCTTGTGTGTGCTTAAATGATGGCTTGGGTATTGAAGCCAGTACAAATAGCAAAAAGATCTGGAGTGAGAGAGACACTTACTGTTTTACATATTGATAGAATAAAAATGTATGGACAAGATCAGGAATAAAAGAAGATATGGAGATGCAGGTGTTGCTCTGTAAAATTTCATCTTCAATCATTCACACATTCACTCACTGGTGGTGGCAAGCTATATTGTAACCACAGCTGTTGGGGGGGAAGACTGACTGATGTAATAGGTGCCACCAAGCCCTCTGACCACCATCAGTAGGGAATTAAAGGTATTGTGGAGGATTTTCATGAATTTTTTAAAAGACCTGCCCTCTCCACTTAAAAAACATACACATGAACAACCCTATACCCACTTTTGACAGGGAACACTTATTAAAGGCATGCAAGAGCATGCACAACCCCTAAATCCGTCAATCACTATATAGAGCAGGGACTATATAGTGGACTCAGTTCACTAACCGTTCGGACAGATGTTCACTGCTTTTTGCTCCCAGTTGGTCACATAACTCCTCCTCCACTGTGCCATCTTTGTTATTAGTCGCTGCTGTCGGGTAGCGACAGTGGGCCATTGAGATGAGCTCTCCTCGCAAAGCATTCGGGGATATATCTGCCTCTTCTGGGGCCTCTCTTTTCTTCTAATACACTTAATGGACACTTTTTTTCTTACGACCCTCGGCCATTTTCAAAGAACTGAGGGGAGCCTCAATGACTGGCTGAAACCGGAGCTCACCACAGATATATGCCTGAAAGTGCACATGCGCAGAAAAAGATAGCTAGCAGGACAAGCATGTAGGATGACCTTACATAAACATATGACCAGAAAGACTGACAATTAGGAGGTCCACATATTTAGATCCTGCCGAAAATAAAAGATCATCCTCTATATTTTTAAAGGATTGCCCAAAGACAACAAATGAGATGGAAAGAGCTGGGGATTCAACCTGACGACTCTCTGCTTGCAGGGCGAAATGCTGTACCCTATCCCACTATCATCCCGGACTAATGTTGTAAGAACTGCAGCAATTTCCTAAACAACTTTTGTACCCTTAAATAATTATAATAAATCCAACTTAAGTTGATTTTAAAGCTATACAATTAAAAAATGTCAAGAAACATAACAAAAAAAAAATGCAGAGATAAAGCTGTTGAAAACAGAACAATCTCTTATTTTTGACCCTCTAGGGTACCTCTCATTTATTGAGTTCTAGATTAATTCTCTACTTATTTCAGGCCAGGTTTTAATTAATCTAACATTGGTGCTGCACTAATTACATCTTTCTGTGTAAAGGGAATATTAAGTATTGAGACAGTCATTTAATCTGTTAATGAATCAAACAGCCATAAATTATCTACACAGTGATATTTTCAAAGTTTAATTGCATGCCGATAGTAGCAAGCCAACACTCAAATTTTGGCCTAAGCAGCAGTGTATTTTTCGACATATTTTTGACAAAAAACTTTTTACATCCTTTGTAAATGCTTGTTGGTTGGAACCATGTACATGTATTTATACTGTCTGTCCACTTAACCCGGAGAAAGCCCCTAAATAGTGCAAAATGTTTAAAAGCTTTCATAATGCATTAAGCACTACACCTTTGTTCCATTATGGCTTGAAACAGTGATAAAAA